AGCTCATCCCTTAGTGCCTGTTGCTGACCAATGAGGGCTGATGCTGAGGTAAAAAGTAAAAAGGGTCTGCATTCACCATGAAGAGCTGTGCAGGGCTCAGTGGGTGGGGTAGGAAAGGAGGGCCAGGGAAGAAATCTAGAGGGTGCTTCTGGGTGGAAGTTTAAAAGACAGAACCTTTTTGAAAGAGTGGTGAGAGCAGGTACCAGAAAATAGTGCATATTAATGTACTTTTCCAAATCACCCACAAAAGGCAGTTTCCTCTAGTTAGCAAGCAGCCGCAGCCCACCACAAGAAACAGGCTATCTTGGGGAAAATGCAATTCAGCACTTAACTGACTCGCGCCAGAATGCCGCGAGCAGCGGAGACAACGTGCAGTGAGGTGAGGGCTTTGCAATCTCAGAACTGGGAGAGGGGACCCACCCTTGGGCAGTGGGCAGCATGCTGCTGGCCGGACATGGGGAGTGGAGCTCTGCAGGGGCCTCCAGGGCTCTTCACATTTCGAGAGAGTGTGACTACTGAAAGACAGAAGAAAGCCTTATAAAGAGAATTCAAGTGACTTTAAGGACTGGGGCGTTACTGATTTAGCATTCCAATAAAAATAAGCAGACTTTGCTCTTTGGGGTCCCTGCACTTCCATATATATTCACTCCAACGTGATGAGTGGAACCGCTTATTTCAGCTAATGATGAACATAAACCTGACAACGATGGCTGCGCTCACAAGACCACAACCTAGACATGAAGATTAGAGGGTCCTGACCCTCACCCAGGCCTGGGGCCCTGCGGACACCCTCCCTGGCACTGGCTCACAACTCTCCCATGGAGGGCAGTGCATAATTCTGAAAGACCTATTCCACCATACCTCTTTAATCACAGAAATGCTAGCTTGAGCAGAAATTGCTTCTAGTTCTCATTATATGTACCCAGTCCCTTCACATTACTGTATCCCCAGCCCTGTTTTCTTTTTTTTAATTTATTTATTTAGATTTATTTTAATTTTTAATTTTTACTTTTTTGAGACGGAGCCTCCCTATATAGATTAGGCTGGCTTTGAACTCCCTACATAGCCCAGGATGGCCTCAAACACATCTTCCTGCCTCAGCCTCCCACATGATGGAATTATAGGTGTGCACTACCATACCCTGCTATTTCTTTTTTTTTTTTTTAACTTTGAGACAGGATCTGGATAAATCACTCAATTTAATTTTTACTTTTTCGTGACGCAGTCTTCCTATATTGCTTTGGCTGGCTTTGAACTCCCTACATAGCCCAAGATGGCCTCAAACACATCTTCCTGCCTCAGCCTCCCACATGATGGAATTATAGGTGTGCACTACCATACCCTGCTATTTCTTTTTTTTTTTTTTTTAACTTTGAGACAGGATCTGGATAAATCACTCAATTGTCCACACTGGCCTCAAACTTCTGATCATCCTGCCTCAGCCTCCTAGAGTCGTGGGATGACAGGCATGTGTCATATCTGACCTGAAAGCCTTCCGGCTGTAACATCCACACCTTTGTTCTATTTCTTCGACTCTCAGATCCTTTATTGAGGGCTGTGACAGTCACCTCACATCCTGTGTGCTCCCCACTAAGCCCTTTCCTTCAGTCAGCCCGGATATAGACACAGGGATGCTCCTAATCATTCTATTCTGGACTCTAATATCCATCCATGCCGAAGCACTGGTCATAATACTCAGGATGTCAACTCCATAAAGAGTCCCCCACCCAGCGCACCCCACAGAGCATGCTTTCTTCCACGGATGAATGCAAACTTCCAAACTCGGAACACATGTCATATTTTCAGCTCAAATTTGGCTGATAAGGGTTGGCGAGATAGCTTAGCAGACTAAGGGCCTGCTTAGGCAAGCTGAGGGACCAGGGTTTAATCCCCGGCACCACATGTCACACGGGCCCCACCCTCAGGCATCCTGCGCTGGCTACAGGAGTCCAGGTGTGGTACACACCTGTAATCCCAGAACCGGGGTGGATAAAAACAGAAGGATCACTACGAGTCTTAGCTGCATAGTGAGACTCTGTACCAAATTAAAAACAAAAAAAGTGGCTGATAAATAAAACCTCCATTTTCTTTTCCACATGAAATCCTATCAAACTAGGCTCCCTATGGCAAGGTACCACTAAATGAATTTAGACCAGGGTAGTAATTATACCCACAATCCCAAAATTCTGGGAGGCTGAAGCAAGAAGATCACAAGTTCGAGTGTAACCTGAGCAACAGCAATGTAAGACCTTTTCTCAAAACAAAAATAAAGGGCAAGCGAGATAGTTCCGTGGCCTAAGCACCTGCCTGGCAAGTGAAAGTATCCAAGTTCGATCCACAGTACCACATGCCATGCCAGTTCTGCACCCAGCTGGCCACTGAAAGCAGATGTGGTGGCACATGCCTGTAATCCTAGTGCTGGGGAGGCTGAGAGAGGAGGATCACAAGTCCAAGCTGCTTAGTGAGACCCCGAACCAAATAAATAATAGGGGCTGGGGAAATGGCTCAGTGGAATAAGCGCTTCCCTGGCAAGCGCAAGGGCCTGAGTTCAATCCCTGATTCTGCAAAAAAAATTAAAAAATAAATAATAAATAAATAAATAGGTAAAAATAATAATAAAAATAAAACAAAGTATGGTTTTAAAACGGCAGGAAATATGCATAGCTTAGTCCAAAAGTCATAGGTTTAATACTCAGTACTGCGACAATAACAACAATAGTTGGGAGCCAGGGAGATTACTCAGTGGAATAAGCGCTTCCCTGGCAAGCGCAAGGGCCTGAGTTCAATCCCCGGTTCTGAAAAAAAAAAAAAAACAACAACAACAACAGTGAAAAAGAAGACAAAGAAAAGGAGAGGACAAAGAGAAAGAAGGAATAAATCTTTTCTTATAGATGTCAAATATCACATTTCCTTTTCTAAAAAATATCTTAGTTTCTCATTATTCCCAATAGAAGCCATTGTTCTTTTTTTTTTTAAAGAATTATTTATTTATTTATCCATTCATTTTGTGTGTGTGGCCAGCTCAGCCCACCAGGGGGCGGGGCTGGCTGGCATGTGGTGCTGGGGGATTTAACCGCGGTCCCTGTGTTTTGCTTAGCTTAGCTTGTTCTAAGTAGGTGCTTTAGACCACTGAGCCATCTCACCAGCCCCGAAGCCATTGTTCTGAAATAATATTAAATTTTAATTTTGTCTTTGTTCATAAATGTGTTAAAAGTATCTTCTGCTCTTCATCCCATTTGTTGACAAAAATGGCAAACAGAGCTAGATCCAAACCAGCACCCCTAGGGTAAACCAACTGAGACCTTTTAGCTACCAGAATATAGTCAATTTGGCAGACATTTAGCTCCCTACCACAGACTCTCCTACCTACCACTCTCCACACTGCGCAAAGCAACTCGGGTGGGTCCTCACCCTGAGTGCAGAGCTGGTTGTATCACAGACAGCTAAGTTAGGTGGGAGTACTCTAGGCAGTCAGACCCTGCCAGGCTCTGCAGAGAGTCAGTACAGAAGGTGAGAACACATCAAAACTGTGGCTGGAGGTGCACCCAATGAAATCCAGGCCTGGAGATCCAGACAGAATGACCAGGCCTGCATGCCAACCCCACGGATAAGCACCACTCTACACGCAGTCCAATAAAGTCTAAACAGACATCAGAAACCCCTATGGGGGACCAGGACTTCCTGATTCATCTCTTTCTAAAATGGCCCTTATAGCTCAGCAGAGTAAAGTGCCTACAAGCAGGCTCAGGGGCCAAGAGCTTGATCCCCAAGTCTGCCGTGCTGGCCCCGCCTCCAGGGGGCACACTGAGATTGCAATTGAGGCTGGGAGTGGTCGTGAGTGCCTGTAATCCCAGCTCATGGGAGGTTGTAAACAGGCAGATCACTACAAATCCAATCTAGTAGTAGACCCTTCCCTAAAAATACAAAAGAAATAATAAATAAAATGGCCCTTACTCTTGCCATGTATACTTGCATATACATGGCAGGTTGCCCATTGGCTCAATATTGCCTAAGTGGCTGTACTTACAACCTTACTGGTTTGATGCCTATGTTGTACCACCTTGTGATTTTGCTCTACAACGCTCCCTTTAAGAAGTAGCCTCCTTAGCAACCCCCTTTTGGGTCCCCTCCTGTTTCTCTCTGTTTCTGTCTGTCTGCCTGTCTGTCTGTCTGTCTGTCTCT